TAAATTCATGAAATAGTAGTTCAGTAAAATTTTGAAAGCAAGTCAACAAATGGGACGACATAGCTTTCATCTGGAAAGGTTTAAACAACAGAAGCTAGCCTTTATGCATTTGGTTTGTTCCATATAGATGTATGAACTTCTCTTTAACAAGCTAAAATGACTTAATAAAATGGTTAATTTCATTTGGGTATAGCTGATAGAAGTGTAAAATGACTTTTGAAAGTATTTTTCAGGATTAGTATATTCAGATGTAAGTAACCTCCTCATTATAACTGCCTGCAACAATCATTATTGTTTTCTGTATTAGATTATCCATGATATTTTTCCTGAATTATTTCAATAAAAAAACTCATTCACATAAGAAACTCAATCTTACATTTTCAGCAGCATGATGTCTCCATCTTTGTGTTGCTTATAAATTACTTTTCATTCTTGTTTATGAAAAACAATTTAGATTCTACACTGTGTGTCTTTAATATCCCCATACATCTTTTACTAGATTCTCATGGCTACAAGTATTACTGTGTACATGTATATTCAAACTTCTTTAGTAACACTTTTCAGTTATCTTTCAGGTAACATTGACTGACAAACTAAGTTAAAAATACTCTTTAACCTAGTCAATCTGATGAAATTTATGGGAAATGCAAAAGGTGCAATTCTATCACACTGTTCTCAAAAAAAATAACTGCAACTACTATGGTATAGTCTATATGTATTTTGTCATGCTATGAATTTAAAGCTGTCTTTCTTAACTTACATAATATGGTAAATTTGTCTTTTCTTATAGAAACAGTTAAAAGTGAGTGGCCCATAATATTGTATTCATGAAATAAAAATTTATCTTTTATTTGAATTTAGTATGCAGTATTTATAATTGATTACCTGAAGAATACAAACTTTTTGTGGGCTATCATAATCAGAGGAGCCGGAAGAGGATGACTGATTGGACAATTCATGCATCAAGCAAAATTTCACCTTTAGCAGTTGAGCTCTTTGAAGGGCAGTGTTCATGCATGTCTCTACACACCTATGTAGGGAACGTGTTTTGCCTTTCTCTAACAGCATGAAAATTGTGCAAAAATTAATAGTCTGCAAACCCCTAAATTATTCTGGAGTAATTGAAGATGTAGCACTCCCAAAAACAAAGAAGGGATATCAGCCGGGTCAGAGTACGATTAATTGTTACTTCCAGAAACACCCCTGCTAACCAGCAGTCCACAGTGATATTCCTGTCAAGTGGAAAATCGGAGAACTCTAAATCAACATTATCCCTGTACTTCACAGGCATTTAAAATAAATATTAAAAAAAACTTAAAATGCATACAATGGTGCTTTGGCAAGGGAAAAGCTAAGCCAAGGTACCAACTTCAATGTACAGAAGAACCTGGAACAATCATACATGCCAATACATTTGTCTGAAATGATGCTAAGTATGTCAGCATACAAATTTAAGATACATGTACATATAAATCATATGTTAGAACTTTACGTATCCAAGTTAAAATACTCACAGCTGTACTGCAATAATATCAGATTGTGTATAAGGTTTTTTGTTTTGTCTTTTGCATCTTACATATCCTAAAGTCCCTCTTTAAACTAAATGTACGCATGTTATGTATCTTGTTAATGTTATGCAATGGGCTGCTTGTTTCAGAGCAGCAGCAGTGGCAGCCAGATAGGATGTGTACAGGGACCCACAAGCTCTACACGGCCCATCAAATGGGTACCAGTATTCTACCATACATAATCATACATTTGTGCCAGGAAGGGACCAGAGGGGGGCCCAAAATTTATCCCACACAAAGGCTCACAACTAAGTATGCCTACCACTATACAAAATTGGAAACTGTGTTTATCAACAAATTGTCATCTGGTTATACTGGAATGGGGATGTTTTTTGTATTACACACAAAAAAAAAACAGGTTTAGAGATAATTTTCACCTGATTTTTGTTGAGGAGAGTTGGAATAACCAAATTACATAACAGCATGTCACATTTTGTGGTATTTAACTTTTAAGTGCTCCATCAGAGCAATAATAATGCTCGTCAGGCTTTTAACTATTTCCCTTAAAGACTTAAATTTAAAGGTATCATATCTGAGTTTCCCATATTCGATTTAAACCTCAATCACCAAACAGTAATACTGGTACTAATACTGTACAGTGTACTAACACTAGTAGAAACAAGTAAGGTAAAGTAGTAGCACTATCAGTAACTTTATAGTTAAGTATTTATGAAACTTGCTTGTATTCTAACTCCTATTTCTAAGATAAAGGCTCAGTCACTATTAGACCGGCAGCTATTCTGTGTATCTGCTCTAATAAAAGAGCTTATGTAACTTAGTGTACAGAAAAGTTTTGATGGTGAATTTTGGTAGAGTGGACCTTCCTGATCACCGTACAACATGCAGTGGAGTCAAATCATGGTGTCAGTTTTTTCTAGAGGTCATTTTCCAATAGGGTCATCATCAGAATCATGATTTAACATATTTGACCATAACTTCTGTTCTGGATGAAAATTTTATGCAATTCCAAATTCTAATTAATTGTATTTGACTTCAGGGGCCATGAGGGTGCAGAACTGAACATAAAAATTTGTAATTATACAGTCTATTTTAAAATGTCTGCCATTTAAGGCTAAAATTTAGTATTTTGGATCATGCTTGTTCTCAATTCACATTTACCAATGATAATCATGCAAATAAATAATTATAACACCTCCACCTAAAAGCATATTCTTTAAGTGTATCCAGTTTTAGTTGGCAGTATAAGGCCATCATCTCATTCCACATTGATAAGTGTACTTGAAGATTATTTCTGAACTATCAAGTGGAACCTACACAACCTCAGTTGTATTTTCATTTTTCAGGTGTACTTGTTTAAACATGACTTTTCACTACTCAGTGCTATGCATAGCAACATGATGTTTTTTTGCGATTAAATGATTAGTTCAGATGTATGTCACACTGTCTTTATATCCTTTAGTACAAGATAAGTACAAGATTTGTGTTAAAGATAGATCTGGCTCTTTCCTGCACAATACCACAGCTCTCATATGTGTAGGGTGGATCCTCCAAATAAATGATCACTTAAGTAAATCATCCAAAAAGTTTTGTTAATAGTTTTTTATTCCAATGGACATTATAAGACTAATTAAGAAGTAGTAATTTAAAATTAATTAACACATAAGAGTATATAAATATCTATGCCTCAACAGAAGAATAACTGAACACCTTTTTTTCTTTCTTTTTTTTAATTTTGGAGATTGAGCTCAAAGTGAAAGATGGATTAAAACATCAACTTTAAAGCTTTCCTTCAGGAGCACACTTCAACATGTGTGTGATATGTCAGAACAATACAACAGAAACTTTACCCAGTTTCCATGCCCTCACTGGTTGTGATTCTACAAGTGCACTATGTGGTAATGGGAAAAAGAAGGCCTTCAGGTTGCTCTGTATTGACAATGATGCCAAAATGACTCTGGGCCAAATAGGGGTCCAAGTTAAAATATTTGCAGATTTAATGGCAAAGACTGAATCCTTCATGTGCTGATGGTATGGAGATATTAACATTCCAGGCAACATGGTACTTACTTTTCTGTCAGAAGGGTCAGAGAAATGAACACTTGCTACCACTACAGTCAGTTTGCATTTGCACATTAAATGAGCAAATTATCAGGTTCAGATGTGGCAAAAATCACTGACATCAATGATCAATCTACCTGATCCTTCTTTGCACAACTGGAAATTGGTGGATGATAGTTTGAGGCCAATACTCATGAATCAAATAGCTACTCCAACTGATCTCCTGGAACTAGTGATGTATATGTACAAAAATTCCTTATGCAGAACAAATAGGTGCTTTTGTAAAATGAACTATCTGAACTGTTCCAAAAGTTGTGTCTGCATAGGCAGCAAACGATGTCAAACTCTGCTAGACGGGTGGAAGAAATTTCTAACGAGGACTGAGCAATTGTAATACATGAACATGTAATTTTGATGTATGCTTCATACTGATAACATGTGAATTCTGAAAGTATAAAATTCAACAAATAGTAATCATGTTCTCTCAAGCATTTTAAAATATGTATGTTCAATGGAACAGTCATTAATGGTTTACTGGAAATATAAGCAACTGTTCCATTTTGTTTTTAAATGGATCCCTTTCATGTTATATTGTAGCATACCTTATGAATGTTTTTGTACCTAAATATCAGATTATGGCTGCATTCTTAAACAATTAAATAAACTTACATCTAAAAGTAAAAGTTAAATGATTATAACGTCACCCAATAATCCCTTATGGCTAGCAGTTTAAAATCAGGGATCTTATTCAGTTATTGTAATTTGTAGCAATTTTGAATCAAACATTTAAACAATCATTTACTATAGGTTTTAACTTCTCTTTTCATTTAAAATCTACTTTATCATCTGGTTTTTGGCCCAATTGACCTAATTTGAGGCTAGAAATCAGATTTCTGTACAAACTTGATTAAAAAAAAAAACCACGGCGGCCATTTTGAAATAAAATCTATAAATTTTAATTTTTTTTTACGTTAAATTCTGCATCCTCATGGGCCCTGAAGTCAAATACAGTTCATTAGAATTTGGAATCACATCAAATAAGTTAAATCATAATTCCGATGACAGCCATATTGGAAAAATGGACCCTAGAAGAAAAAAAAAAAGACACCACAGTTTGACCACACTGCAACTTATGATCGGATAAGTCAACTATACCCAAAATCCATCATCAAACCTTTTATGTACACTCGGTTGCGTAAAACCATTTTTCCAGGCTCTTAGCTCCTGGTTAGTAAATCACTGTATCAGCGTGCGCCCTATGCAGTGTTATTATTAGTGTAATAAGTAATGACTCTAATGAAGCAATTTCACAAACGTAATATGTATATATTTTAAATTACATTTTAGAAAAACAATCTTTCTAGAAAATATCTGAAACTAGTTTCAGTAAAACTAAAAATCATTTCTACCTACTGTTCAATCTCATTAATTATTCTGTGTACGTAAAAATTACTCACACTAGACGATAAAACCAGGCGTAAACGTAAGACAATCTCGTTATTCGACTGAAAACCTCGTGATATGTTTCACTGCAAAATAATGTGCACCGAGAAATGTCATAAGTCTTGAGTGCACAGCTGCTACCTAGTGAAATAATATTTTCAATGCTTATATCAAATTTAACTTCTTTTAAGAACTTCGGTTTTCATTTTTATGTCATAAATTTATCTTCAATTAGTAGGAATAAACTAGATTTAAATTTTTTCTTGGAAAATTAGTTTCTTATTTACAAGTTACGATTGACACGCCGAAAGTTGGCAAGCATTAGGAACCAGTATGCCTAACATTTGTCAAGGTTATGGTATATTTAGGTCAAATTTATAATTCCGAAAGCGATGGAATAACAGGAGATTCAGCAAGATATATATTATAAAGTAGTTCTCTGACTCAATGCTCAAACATGTCTGGTTCAAGGGCCTGTGTACAAGGTGCGTATCATAAACAACCCGATTTTGTTTAGTTATTTGTATACTTGGTTTTTCAATTCAAGGTCTCCCCA